GAGCGCGTCCTCCGAGGGCGGGCGTCGACCCTTCACCTCCCGGGCGAAAACTGAGACGCAGAGGGAGGAGCGACCGGCCCGGACAGCCGGACCGTCGTGGGTGGCCCCGGAGCTGAGCCTGAGCAGACCTGGGAAGCCGGGTGCGGGGAGTGCGCTTCTGAAGGCCGACAGAGGAGAGCTTTTCTCGGAGGGCTGGAGCTGTGCTCTGTCTGGCAGCCCCGAGTCTGCGCTCCCTCCTCAGCCCTTGGGGGGGGGGCACAGGGACAACAGTGGCGTGTGAGACCCTAGCAGCCCTCTAGGCTGGCCGATTTCTAGGCAGCAGGTGTTTCTGGCCCCTTCCTCTCGCCAGCCCTCTTTCCCCATCCCATCACTCCCCATCACTCCCTCAAGGGTCCCTGCCCCCTAATTGGGGGGCGGGGAAGAACCCACATCTTATAAGACAGGAGCGGGAAGTCGCATACCCAAACGGTGGCCCACAGTCGTCCCAATTCCTTTCTTGGGACGCCGCTTGCTCCCCTTGAAGTTCACAGCTGCCCGGTTGCTTGCGCTCCCCGGCAGTCGGCTGCTGGGTGGAGGACGCTGGCTGTGGGACCTCAGGGGCTAAATATAGACCCTGCTTTGTGAGGTCCTGTTTACCGGGAGTTTTGAGGTCCTCCTGGGGCATTGCTTACCTTTTCAGTGAAGGGCTGTGTCCGTGGCACAGACAGAGTTAACAGCCTCACATCTGGCCCTCACAAGAGGCCTGGGAATTCTTCAGGTACCGTATGGGACTTTGGGGTTCCATGACAGGCACCGCGGGTCAAAGCAAGGCAGATTGCCTTTCCTTAAAGTGTGATACCGGTTTTCAGATCGCAGGCCAAATGTCACTTTTCTGAAAAGCCTTTTTTTTTAAAACATTAAAAAATTATTCTTTATTTTAACTGTATTTTACTTTTATTTTGTTTTTACATTTTAAAATTTTTATTGGTACATTTTAGATGTACATAATGATAACATTCATCATGGAATTTGTACCTGCACATGGTGTATCTTGCTTCCTCTTTTTTCCCATTCCCCTCCCCTCCCTTTAATCCTTCTCCTTATTTACCAAAGCTTTGTTCCATTTTTCCTTCAGTTCTTTTTTCCTTGTCCCTTCCTTCATTCCCACACCTCTTGTTCCCCTTCTTATTGGAACATTTCTCAATATCTGTTGTATATTTTGTCCCTTATTTACAGTTTTGGTGTCTGACACCAGAGAAACAATTTGGTATTTAAACATGTGTGTCTGATTTATTTCACTTAAGTGAATAGTCTCAGTGTGCATCCATTCACCTAGACATGTCTCAAACATGTCCTTCTTTATGGCAGAGCAGTATTTCATTGTATAGAAAAAACCACACATCTCCTTTAACCATTCATTGGTTGATGAGCTTTTGGGCTGTTTCCGAGACTGAGCTATTACAAACTGTGCTGCTATAAACATGGGTGTGCACGTATCACGGTACTATGATGCTTTTAATTCTTTTGGGAAAATACACAGGAGGAGAATAACTGGGTTGAATGGAACCTCTAGTTTTAGTTTTTTGACGAAACTCCACACTGATTTCTATAGTGGTTGTACCAGTCTATACCTTCACCAACAGTGGAGAAGGGTTCATTTTTCTGCACAGCCTGGCCAGCATTTGTTTTATATGTATGATATATATATGTATATGATATATCATATATATGAGATAGGGTCTCAGTATGTAGTCTAGGTTGACCTTGAACTCACTATGTAGCCCAGGCAGGTCTTGAACTTGTGGTGATCCTTCTGCCTCCGCCTCCCAAATCCTGGATTACAGTTGTGCACTGCCATGCTTGGCTGATTTCTTGATAATAGCCATTCTTTCTGGAGTGAGATGGAGTCTCCGTGTTGTTTTAATTTGCATCTCTTGAATGGCCAGTGATGGTGAACATTCTGAAATGCCTTACTGCACCCAGTCAGCCCTGGCACACAGCCCGTGTTCTCTTCCTTCATAGCGCTTTCCAGTTAACGGATTTGGTGGGCTATAACACGTGAATACTTGTGGTCAGGAAATGTGCTCACTCTCAGCACCACCTTCCTTGCACAGGCTGGCACCTAGTGGGTCCTCAACAAATATTTGTTGGCTGAGTCAAATGGGACTTGGTGAGAGCTGCAGCCTCTGTCCTTACTGCCCAGCTGTTTCCTGTGCATATCTGCAGGAGTGCTCAGGGGAAGGAGCAGAATGAGGTCTGGGTTGAGAGAATTTGGGTGGAGCTCTTGGGGATCGAGCTCTCTGGGTTATAATCCTGGAAGTTACCTGAAATCCCAAGGAGTCTGCAAAGGCACCTTCTGTCTCTAATTTCCTGAGCCCATCGATGTCAGATAATAAAAGTGTACACAGGCTCTGTCAAGTACTGCTCTAAACATCTCACATGTGTGACTCCTTTAAGCCTCACAAGTACGTGGGGTGGTTCACTTACTATACAGATGAGGAACCTGAGCAGCAGGGCGGGGAAGCAACATTTCCAAAGCCCTAGAGCAGATCTGAGCCCTGCATAGGACCAACTGCTTAGCCAGTGGTTCTGGAGTAGCCTGGATGAGATAGTCCCAGCATAGCTGGACCTGCTGGAGTCTGCATAGCTCCTTTGGCATGGGCTGTCATTTGACTCTTTCTGAGACTCTGTGATTCCCCTCTACCTCAGACCACGAGTTCCTGGAGAGGAGCCATGGGTGTCAATATCAGCTGAATGTCCAGTTCCTGCCACAGTGTTTGGCATATGTATGCCCAGGAATCAGGCAAATAGGACCTGGCAGGATGAGAAAGTTGGACAGAATAAGGAGGAGGACTTTGGAAGCACAAGTGGGCATCTGTCTACTAAATTTATTTTTGCCATACTGGGGACTGAACCCCAGGCCTCCTGAATGCTTGGCAAGTGCTCTACCACTGAGCTATATGCCTGGTACTTTCTAAATTTTATTTTGAAACAAAATCTCCCTGTGTTGTCCAGGCTGACATCGAACCTGGGAATCCTCTTGCCTCAGCCTCCTGAGCTGGTAGGATAACAGGTGTGTAGCACCACACCCTGCTGGCTTACTAGATTTAAAACAATTAAAAAAAATTTTTTTTTTCACACTTTTGGTTTGCTAGGTTGAAATAAATATTTATTAAGTACTTTCTGTTTAAGGCACTCTAATGGAGGTGGCATTTTCAGGGGGTACAACCACCACCTGTTGCAAACATGGTTAGAGGGTGGCCATCTTGTGGGGAGGAAAGCTTTTGACCTGGAACACCTGACCTCAAGAGTATGGAAGAAGAAGGGCCTGGGAGTAGCATTCAGCAGAAGCCAAGGAAACTGGACCAGAGATAGAAGAGTCTGTTTCAGGGTGGAGATTATGGGGAAGGAAAGGAGATGCAGAAAAAAGGAAAGAGGCCACAGAGATAAACGGGGTCAAAGGCACAGGCCAGGCCGGTCAGTTCAAAGGTAACAGCAGAGGGAAGGAAAGAGGCTTGGAGCAGGCCCCGAAGAAGGGGAACTGGAGAATGAGGTGTGGGCCTCTGAAAGAAGGAAGTCAGCAGGAGGAACTGGTTTGAAGAGACAGAAGGAGGAGGATATTTGCAGTATTTAGGCAGGTGTAACGCCTGCAAGGACCAAGGCCAGCAGAGTGTGGAGCTCCTTTCTGTGCCAGTCCGCACCCTAGCCTGGTGCCAGGGCTGCTGCATATAGGGAAGTCTTGGCAGGGTGGGCATAACCAGGGGAGAGGGTAGGTGCCAAGCAGCAGGGACTGGAAGAATCACATGTCCTTAACTGGTGCCAGCATATCAGTGAATACTCCCTAGTGTCTGCTGGTTGACATTCTGGATTTGAGGGCCTGGTGGAGATGGCTCTGTGCTTTGGAAGGGGTGTCTGGGTGAGGAAGCGCGTGGAGTGTGAAGAACAGGACAGTCATCAGCATGGGGTTTGTGGTGGACTGACCTTTACTAGCCGGCTGACCTTGGGCAGGTTCAAGCCTCCATTTTTCAACAGAAAAAAATAGGGATGATACCAGCATGTACTCCATAGGATTCTTGTGATCATTAAACCAGAGTTTGGCACAGTGACTGGCATGTAATGAGCATTTATGATTGTTAGCTGCTGTCATCAGCACAGGTGACAGTTAAAGGAAATGAGGGGGCAGCTACTCAAGGAGAAATAATGAACAATGAAGAGACAAGAAGTCCAAAAGGAAAGACTCTTGGTGAATGACTGGGTCTGCCTAGGGAGGAGGTGCAGGGGATCAGAGAAAGAGTGGCAGGGAGGAGAGGCTACTACCAGGAAAGAGCAATCACAAGCCCAAGATAGGAACGTCCCAAGGAAGTTGAGAGGCCCATGAAAGGGTACAATAAAAAATCTTCTTTAAATGCTCCCTGAAAATTTTTATTTAAAGGAAACTTCTGGTGGATCTGTCCCCAAGGGGATGGTTAATACTCTTTAAAACTAGGATCGGCTGCAACAAGTTTGCCTGATACCATTGCATACCTTGAGGTCCCTTATCTTCCACCCTGGCCTCGGTGTACCTTCTTCGTAGCCAGTTGGTTGGTTATGTATTGTGGCTATGTGTTGTTTTATTGTTGTGTTTTGTTTTTTAGCCATGCTATGTAATTTGTCTTGGTTAGCATTGATGGTTCTTCATCAGAATAAGACAGTGACCATGGATATGGTTTCTAGAGCTCCAGGGGATTGGCTAAGCCACACTGCTCTTCAGATGTGGATGTGCTCAGGCACAGGTGTCTTTCAGGTGTGGGACATAGACAGGTGACTATAGAATCTGTTCTA